ATATATATATATTAGTTCATGTTTTGTACCCTATTCACCGGGTGTCTTGCCTTAAATTTAGGGAAGAAAGTGAAAAAAATACATTGAAAACCTCAAAATCAGCATCAAAATCAAATAAATAAATACGTTAACTTTGAAGACATTTTACCTTGCTCTCAAATTTCACAAGTGTAATGAAAACAAAAAGGACCGTCTTTATTTAGCTTCTCTCGTGTCTTCAGCTTATTGATAAAATAATGAGCATTCAAGAAGAGCATCTCCGTTGACTAGAGTTTTTGATGTTTGAAATGAGTGCAGATACAAACAGGTTCTTGGCTTCAGTTTTGTGCATCTATGATTCTCACATGACGTCAGGATTAGACGTGATCTCTCTCACCACCGTCTGTTTTCTCAGCAGCGGCGAGGCGAGTTGGGATACTTGGCCTTCAGGCTCTCCTTGAAGCTGCGGAAGAGGATGCGGTTCTTGCGGTTCTCCTCGTCCTTTCTGCTGTGAAACTCTCCCTGGACCTTAAACCCTCTGTGCACCACAAACGCGTTGCTCAGCACAGAGAAGTGGTAACCTGCGATGTGAAGCTCACAGGCCTGAAGAGAAGAGAGAAATCAGTCAGCAGGTAACGGAGCAAATTAATGAATAACAGAAATATTCATATTTTACACCACGAGAGGCTTCTCAGTTCACACCGGAACTCAGTCCACTTTTCTATTCACAGTATAAAAAATATGAATTAGTTTTATTGCAATATATATATGTGTGTGAGTATATATATGAATTCATGTATTAAATAATTTAAAAATTTTATAACTTTTTTGTGTCATTTTCACAGCATACATATACATTTTGGGGGTTAAAACATACAAACTGCAATGATAATTAATATTAATCATTTTATTATATAAATTTTATACATATATGGCATTCTGGAAACATCATATAATATGTTTAGGGTATTATATTAATTATTGTAAAAGCTATTACAAATATATACAATATTAAAAAATAATATATTATAGTTATATAATTTGATACTCTAAATATCACAATATAGCCCAATATACATACACACATACATGTGTGTGTGTGTGCATGCTGTGAAAAGTTAAAAATCTGAATATTTTATATATATTATTTTATTATGCATTATAATATATATGATTATATATCAATTGCTCTTTTTTTTGGTTTTAATTGCTTCTAATGTCCTGTATTGTATGCATCTTCCAAATGACTAAATGTAAATATTAATATATAAATAATATAATGCAAATATTGTAGTATATAATTATATTTAGAATATCATAGCATTATATTACAAACAACATTAATTGTGTGTGTGCGAACAAGAAGGTAGCTAGCCGCACACTGAGTCCAACTGAATTTGGATTTGACTTTTTGCACGATGCAATTTATAAAATAAAAAATGTTTTGCTAGATTTTTCAGTCTGTATTGGACTCAGTGTGCGGCCTGCTATCTTCTTGTTCGTTTTCAAGTATTTCCTTGGCTCTACGCACCTACAATTTTTCTTTACAGTGCGTTTCCACTGGCACGTAGCGAGCGTTTTCAATTCATTCCTATAGAAGTTGAGCTTAACCGCTCGCGCAGTGTATTATGGGATTGAAAGCGTTGACAGCGGCTGAGAGCGTCAAAAAGATTGGGCATTTCTCGACTTTATGCAAATGTCGAGCGTCAACCAATCACTGTGAAAGGAAGATGATGAAACGTAAACAGGGTGTTTTTCAGAGGCGTGCTCTGCCCTAAATTTGACATGCCCCAAAGCAGTGGCGTTGTAGCGTTGCCAGCGGCACTGAGCGCAGATTTGACGCTGCAGTGGAAATGCACCGTAAGTGTGTGTGTTAAAAACATGATTTATTTTGCATTTGGCGAATTGATTGGTCGCGTATACACTTCCTGCAGGAGTCCACCTCTTCATCCCTCACCTGACTGATGCGGTTGAAGCCGTACTGCCTGAAGTTCTCGTCGTAGAGAGGAACCGTTCGAGCGCCGATGTAGAAAGGCTCCCACGGATCGGCCCAGTTTATAGTGTACGCCACCTCCAGCAGCCCGGAGCCCCTGCTGGCCAGATTGACCCACTGCGAGTAATTCGTAGGAGCCTGACAGCGAGGGCAAAGCTCGTCGTAAAACGGCCGCACCTCGCCCACCTGATAGAGCTGCACCAGCTCCGCCTTCGTCGCAGGCATCTTACGAGTGTGTCTGATCTCGAACGCGGGAAGCACGAGGACTTCGTCCGCAGCCGGTTCGCGCCTCATTAGCATTGCCACGAATTGGTGGTGCAGATTGGCGCTGGGTATCATGTCGATATCGATGACCAGGATGTAAGCGGCGTCTGTGCCACTGCGGGCCACGTTGCGAAGAAGGTTATTGGGGTACGAGACATTGTTCCCAATCGCGTAGTTTTTATACTTATCTCTGTACGATTCGAGCTTGGCGAAAACGCCGGAGCAGCCCATGTCCTCCAGACCGGCGAAATGCTCTCGATCCTGGTCTGGGAAACTCGCCATTTCACCCGAGTGGCAAACCAGATGGAAATCCACCAACGCTTGAACCTGTGGGCAAAACAGGCTGAGGGCGTAAACGAATGCCGTCGCGAACTTGACATCTTGGCCGTTGGCGAATATCACAACGGATAGCGGATTCTGCCAGCGCTCCAACAAAGAGCTCAAATGGTGAAGGTTGTTGATGGTGGTATGCGTGGCCAAAGCCAGGTGGTGCGATCTGGGATCCGCTCCTGGCTTCTGATTGGTCGAGAAGTCGCTTTTGATTAGGCTCTTATAGACGCGGTACTGTCCGCTCCCATCGAAGATCCCGCCTGTGGATAAAGAGTACCTGAGATGTTCCCGTCTGGGGTTCTTCTCTCCTTGGTTTGCAGTCTTTTTGGAGCCGAAGAGCTCAGAATACTTGTAGCGCTGCTGTTTGCCGTGCAACTTTGAGAGGAAAGACAGATATAAAAGCTGCAACAGTGCAACGATGAGAAGGGCACTGAGCACCACCTTAAACACGGAGCATTTTTTAGAGAAATGCATTACAATTACTAGCACCTTTTGGTTAATGCTAATGAAATAAAGAGTGCTCACACAGATCAGCAAGGGTTAGCCAGCTATGCAGCCCTCATGCATTGCAGCCAGAGGTAGTGCAGGTCAGTTTAAACGGGAATTGACTTGCATGTTTGGATGCATGCATTGAAAGGACGCCTGTGAACAGCAGAAGAGAAACGCGTTCGTGTAGAGCGCACACACTGCGCATGGCGGCGCATGTTTGTTTACTGTTCCGGTTAACGTTACCGTAAACACCGTAAAACGGGCTCGGCTCGCTACTTGTGCTCTGGCGTACCTGTATGTGACTGTTTCGACTCCATAAACACTTCCTGTTTGTAACAGCCAGAATAAACACTAGTAAACACTTATTAGACATCAAAACATAGATGTGTTATAACCTAAATGTGTAGATATAGAATCAAAACGATCGTGTACATGCACATATTTGTATCAGACGAGGTGGCCGAGTGGTTAAGGCGATGGACTGCTAATCCATTGTGCTCTGCACGCGTGGGTTCGAATCCCATCCTCGTCGAAAATTAATTTTCATTTATATTTTATCTTTACGGTTAACATGACAGACCGGAAGTCCTGCAGTTTTGGTGTATTACGCGCCAAATGTGCTCAGCAAGCGCTAATAATAAAGGGCAATGATGTTTTTGCACATGGTGCCATAGTAATCTTTAGGTTTAAATAATAAAAAATACAGGGTAATATAATTAAAATATTTTTAAAATAATATTGTAATATACAACGGTGATCTCGAGACGGTATTTGTGAGACTTTGGAGCCCCCTACAGTTAAGCGAGTGGAATTTCCTGTCGTAAAACTCGACGTAATTACAGTAGATAGCTGTGCACCTGCCTTTGTTGCTGCCGTAAAGCAATCTGTCCTTTTCGCGGAATTTCGTACCCGCTCACCAAACTTGCATTTAAAAAAACAAACAAAAAATGTTGACAACACACATAACTAATAGATACAAACAATAACCGTAATTAATAATAAAATATAAAAATAAATAACAAATTTAAAAGAAACGACACAAAATACAAATAAAGAACTATAGGCCGATACATACGGGTATTCAAATCAAAGCTTCAACACTAATTCTGAAAAGTCCTTAAGATGGATTAAAGTTCCTTATGTCTCCTATGCTATCAATATCAATAGGTCTATGGGTATCTTTTTTGATCATTGTTTATGAATGTGATATTTACCTATATATTAGTAAACCCAAACTTGCATAGTAAACCCCAGAATAGAGGTTTGGGGGTGTGTGAGAAAGAAACTGAAGCTGTTTGACTTATTTGTCAGTGTATCATCAGAATGATTTTGAAACTTATAATTAAAAACAAAACAAAAACAAACTTGCATACAGCTACTTTGAAGTAGCGTCACCCACATACCATGGTATATGCATATGGTAATTGTTCGGTATCATGGTATATATTGTAAAATATTCCATAAAAACAACAAGAGTTATACTATTATTGTCAAACGGAAGTCACTTTCAAAACACAGAGAAATCATTTACAGTATAGGGCTGCATAATTTAGAAAAAAAAATTACATTGATTATTTTCTCACATATTGCGATTAGAATTTGAACTGTGATATAAACATTTAATCTCAAACACACATAAGTCTTTGCACTGACTTGACTTTAAATTGGACTCGAACCTCTTTTTGTCCACATTATATTCAGTCATTTTTAGAAGCCCGGTCAGTTTGAATAATAATAGCAAAATTATTTCCATGTTATTTTGAAAATCTATAAAACATGAAGACGAATATATTATTATTGTAATAATATAATTGTACTTTAATTTTCACTTTATTTTATACTCTAAATTATTAAATAAATTAGCTTTTTTTTTTTTTTTTGCTCCAACAAGTGTGTGAATTTATTGACAAACGAAACACGCAACGCTGTGAACAGATCTTGCTGACTTTTGCATTTTTAATTCAATAACCGAAACAACCACAAAAACAAAACAAACATAAAAAGGCTTCGTCCACAGTTGTACAGTCATGACATGATAAACGATGGCGCCGAGCTGCAGTCAACAGTCAGAGGTCCAGGGTACGAGACAGTCGCTCGTTTCACTCCGCACCAAATATGACTAAATATCACGTCTTCCCAAAGCGGAGGAAAGCGAAAGTCAAGCCTCAAAACCATTTTGAATATGGAGAATTTATGCAGTCCATTTAAACATGAAACGACACGCTTGTTGACTAAAACTGGACTGAAAAGCAAATAATGGAAAACAATTTAGCCGATGCATTCGGCTGTAAATGTGTCGTTGTGTTTTAATGTTATGAACGTACAAAACGTGCATGACTTTCACTCTCTTTCGTGCTTTATGACTGGCATCTGTACGACTAAATAGAAACATGCCAACTCAGTCTCTCCGCCAACCAGCGTTTAAAGACAAATCCACTAGGAGACGAGCACTCCGGCGCCTCCTTTCGAGCCTCCTCCTTCGCTCTCTTTGGCTTGACTGGCGTCCGCTTTGCTCTGTTTGTCGTCCTCTCCGACTAATCGGATGTTGTAGCGCTCGCGGTACTCCGTCAGCTCCCGCCCTTTCGCCTGCATCCGTGTGTTAAGCGACTCCACGATCTTCGTGATCTGATCGCAAGGAGAGAAGCATTAATAATGCATCGTTTATGACGAGCAAAGGTGTGCGAGTCGTACCTGTTCTTTATTGTTTTCTAACGCAGGCAGGACTTCTTTGACCGTCCTCTCCACGAGCACGCCGCCAACCAAACGAAAGCACTTCCGCGACGGATCGACTTCCTTTAGCGTCTCAATGACGAGGCTGCGAAGAGGAAGTTTACACTGCCTTTCAGACAACCAGTCCATCAATTAACATCTTGTGAAGTGTTTGTAAGAAACAAATCCATCATTGAGACATGTTTTAACTTCAAAGTGTTGTGTTCGACTAGAATACAAGTCCAAAATCCTTAATATTGATTCTCCTGTGAAAAAGTCTGAATCAGGAGAGAATAAAGCAATAATCCCCGTGAAGCCGTGGTTTACAGTGAATTTATAACAGCTGAGGGACGTTGTTAGGCACCACGCGAAGCGGAGTTAACCCCCTTAGCTGTTATAAATTAATTTAAATTAAACGCTAAGGGGCGTTGTTCACGTCGTGCCTAAAACCCCTTTAGCTGTTATAAATCCACTGTAAACCACGGCTTCACGGGGATTATTGCTTTTATAAAACGGTTATTCCATATACGTAGTAAGGTTTCACAAAATAAAACAGAGCAAATAAAGTGTAATGATATTAATAAAAACAGCTGAGGGGCGTTGTTAGGCACGACGCTGTTATAAATCCACTGTAAACCACGGCTTCACGGGGCTTATTGCTTTTATAAAACGGTTATTCCATATACGTAGTAAGGTTTCACAAAATAAAACAGAGCAAATAAAGTGTAATGATATTAATAAAAACAGTATTCTTCCACCAAACAATGTAGTTCCTCAGAAACAGTTGTGGTTCCAACAAAGTGGTTGCCGAGCAACACACAAACATAAACAAAGGTGTGTGATTGTAGAGTAATTTACAACAGCTTCGAACGCGGCTCAGCCGATCAGAATCAAGGACCGGAACTCTCCGGTTTATAAGTACGCACAGATCAAGCATCGTTTACAAGTGAAAACCAGTCCACTTTTTCACTGGAGGAAGCGTTATTATGGACTCATTTGAGCAGAAGTGACATTTTTAAGTTAAAATGTGATGAATGTGTTTCTTACAAACGCGCAGCTTTTCACTAGTACATAAGATGTTAACTGATGGACTGCAGTGGTGTGGGTTATTGTGATGTTTTTATCAGCTGTTTTTTCCCTGCGGAGGATCCATGTGGGAAGGGAAGGGGAGTCACTTGTATTAAACACACCTGTGTTCATTGATCTCCATCTCAAACTCTGCAGACTTGGAAACCATGCTGCGCTGCTCCTGTCGCATCCTCTGGAAAGTAGCCACCACCTGATTCAAACAAGCACACAGATTAATAACACATGCATATTAATAAGGTAGTAAATTGTAAACATAATAAAAGATCATTAGGTTCAAATATACAGGTGCATTTAGAAAAACAATTCTGTCCCCTTGATGACTTAGTGACAGATGATGCACTTTCCTTAAAGAGACAGGAGGGCATGTGCTAGTTTAATGGGTGGAGACATTCAACCTAACATGAAATACCCAGATTTATAAAAATTACAGTATCTGTTATCTCTCATGCAGCTGATCTGAAGTTTGCATTGGCAACTATAGACCAGCTCGCGCGCGTCTCAATCCGTACCGACAACAATGAACACATCCATTAGAATGCACCGAGGGGCGTCGGGCGCTCGCGGCTTTGTTGTTTACAGCAGACGCGTTACTCGCTCGCGGCGCAGATGAAGCGTTCATGCGTTACTGTAATAAACCCGACGCGTTGTTACCTGCTCAGCAGACGGAGCGGGCTGCTTTCCGCCACTTTTACCGCTCGTGTTGTTGCTGCTGTTCGCCGCCATGATGAACTACACACAGCACCGCAGTCAGGACCCCCAACGGTCACATGAGGGGCTGACCGCGACACTCCTGACTGAAATTACCGCTCTCTTAGAATAGAAAGTGCTGTACGAATTTTTTTTTACCACACATAAACACATACCCATATTCACCAGCGAGATATTTTACACGTTTGTTGTTAGATAGATATTTTGTGGAAAGAGTCAAAATATATGTGTTATAATATATTGTTTCAATATCGTAGAGAAACTAATTTAAGTGGAAGGATATAGTTTTTCTTTGTTTGTTTTTTTCTCTCTATAACAATGTATATGTGACCCTGGAGCACAAAAGCAGTGTTAAGTCGCTGGGGTATATTTGTAGCAATAGCCAACAATACATTGTATGGTTCAAAATAATCGATGTTTCTTTTATGCCAAAAATCATTAGGATATTAAGTAAAGATCATATTCCATGATGATATTTTGTAAATTTCCTACTGTAAATATATCAAAACTTAATTTTTGATTAGTAATATGCAT